GTGGGGTGGGAACTGGGTGGAGGGGAGTTATGGTGGGAAAAAAGAGGAACCAATGTAATAATCTGAACAATAAATATTTAATTAAAAAAATGATTATAAAGTATGAGTACAATTTTATCCCCTATATCACATATTCCTGATTTCCCTCTTTATATTTTCAATGTTTTTTACTATGTAATATACATACATTTTTGTGTATTTGTTCTATTATCTTCGTAATATTAACTAGTGTGGTTTCAAACTGTGCTTCATGACTATTGAGTCACAACTAGCATTTAAAGAAAAAAAGTAGAACAGAAAAAACTGACACATCACATATAGTAAAGGGGAATACTCTTGTGCACTTTTTATTTTTGTAATTTTATGTACACATGTATATTAAATGGGATTTCATTAAATGTTTAAAAAAAACATTAAACACTGGGAAACTGAATTACTAGATCAAAAGATGTTTTGTTTTGTTTTTAGTTTTCATTTTCCATGCCTACCAATAGTAATATGAGTAACCTATTTCTCCACATTCACACCAAAAGAGATATTGTCTTTCTTTTTAATCCGTGTTGATCTGAAAGGAAAGAAAGGTACCATGACACTTTTAATTTGTAGTTCCTAATTCCTAGGAGTTGATATAATAGTATTTTTTTTTTGGTGAATTATATTTATAGTCTAAGAAAATTATTTCTTTTTAATTTTAAGAGATAATAAACTTGGTTTTGCTTGTTATTGATATATTCTACTTTTGGAATACTCAAAATTTATTACATAATTTAATAAATTTCTATTCACTTCACAGAAAGCTGCTAATATACAAATGGTCTTAGTCTTCTTTGAATATATTCATTTTATCTATAATCCTTGTATGGCAGAGCAACATAATGCAGAGTACAAGGGCATTCCGGTTTCAGGCCCAGATGTAATAATAATGAACTAACCACATGGACTAGACAAGTGAATTATTCTTTTTATATTTCCTTTTACTATCCTACAAACTAATATAATGGAGAATATACCAATTATTTTAAGTTCTTAAAAGTTAATATTTACTGAGCACTTATAATATGCCAAGAAGCAGTGCTAAGTGCTTTAAATTCTTTATGTAATTTAATACCAATGGCTCTCAATATTTCTAAAGCTCCCGATTTATAAATGAGGAAATGTAGACTCAGAAAAATTAAGCAAATTAGACAAGTGACATATCTGGAGTACAAACTTAGATCTGTCTGACTCCATGGCCAGTATCTTAATTGTTATGCTATCAGTTACAAGACAATTTTTTCTAAAAACTTCTGTCACTAAACAAGGCTTTTTATAAGACATGTAATTTGTTTATAAGTAATAAACATCTATACGTATATATGCATCAGTAACTCTACTAATAAAAACTGAACATGTGAAATTGCCAATTACTCAATAGTTCCCCCTGCTGGCTAATTCCCAGAAGTACAATTTAAGGAAAAAACCCTTAATGAAAATTGTCAATATAAGTTAATCATAAATTCCCTGTTCTCAATAGATCATATTTTTAGAGAATAATGAAAAAAACAAGATATAGAATTTCTATCTGAAACCCTTTTAAGGGCCTTTTGGGGTATATGTTGGGAAAATTTAAGTCAGGAAGTCACTGTGGGTACAAAAAATATAATACAACTTGAGATTATGCTATGACAATTAGGCTCAGACTATCATAATTTCATTGAATAAGCTATATTCTAAGGATGTGAGGAAGGAATAACAAATTATACCTTAGCAGCTGCCTATGACAAAGATTCTGAACTTCTTTTACAATATGTAGTCCCCACATTTCAAAGCTCTAAGTACACTACTACTCTCTTTTTTTTCTTTTTCTGAGGGTATGTGGGTGTTTCTTGCATCTTTTTTTCCTACACATAGGCTTATGGTTTTTTCCTTTTAAAAATAGTTTAAAATAAATTATATAAACAATTTTTAATTCTTAAAACGATTCTACATTCATGATTCAAAAGGTATAAAAAGCAAGGTGAAATATCTTCCTTCTCTCCGAACCTCCATACATAACCACTGTTACTGCAAAAACAGAAACAATGAGTAGATAGCAATGCCTTACTGTATATGTGCTATATGGGCTACAAAGGCCTTTTCCATCCTTGTTGAGAGGTTATCTTTATCTTCTTTCCTATGACACTATCATTCTTTGTACGATGGAACCTAATAAAAATCTTACTATGCCTGACTATCTGGAATTATTAAGTTTTTCTACCTTGAAACAGAAAAAGCACAAACAACTGGGAAATTAGCTTTTATTTCTATCCACTTTAAAACCATCCAAACACTCAATGACTCTAAAAGCGTTAATCTAATAAGTATTTACTGAGCATCTACTCTATGCCAGGCACTAAAAAGTACAAAGGAACATCAATAATTACTTTAAAGATGGTAATATTTTCCCAAATTCTTGATATCGAGGTGGAAAAGACTGTCAATACAATAAACACACCTAAGTAGAATTTGAATTTAAAAATGTTGCTCCCAATCTCTCTCATCCACTTTCCAAAAAGGAAAACCATTTTACAATCTTCCAAATAATGGGTTTATTTTAAGCAAAAATTATTAGCATAATGCTGAAAGCAGAACAGGAAATAAAACTACCTTGTTCTTCAGGTGAGAGGTCACTGTCTTCATCTTCACTGCTTTCTTGTACATGAACCTGATACTTTGACTCCGAGCCTTCAGCAGCAGCTAATCTAAACAATCATTTGCAAAGAAATCAACACTCTGATATTCTTATATTAACTCAGTGACTTGTTTAACTTTTGAGTACCATTAAAACATCTAAAGATCATTAACATACTAGCTATAACTTGATGAGGAAAATAAAAAGCAAGAAGAGTGAGATGGGTGTAGAAACCAATACGCAACAAGAAGACTGGAGGGTGAGAAATCAATGAATAGCCAAGAAATAGAGCTTTTGTTTAGAAATGCAATTATTTTTGCCTTCCTCACATTCATCTTTAAAACTCAGGAGGCAGCAATATTAAAAAAACAAAACAAAAAACCACAATCAGTGTACTAGGCTCTGGTACTCTAATCTTTCTGTCACCTGCATACCTTGATTTTAATCTAGAAACAAGACTATAAAAGTTGTTACGAAAAATCCAGATATACTTAGCACATGCTTTTTATTTATACTTGTACAAGTAAAATGCCTTTAACTCTGCACAATTAAAAACAGCATAAGTGCCCTGGCTGGTTTGGCTCAGTGGATAGAGCATTGGCCTGCGAACTGAAGGGTCCCGGGTTCGATTCTGGTCAAGGGCACATGCCGGGTTGCGGGCTCGGTCCCGGGTGGGGGGCTTGCAGGAGGCAGCCAATCCATGATTCTCTCTCATCATGGATGTTTCTCTCTCTCTCTCCCTTCCTCTCTGAAATCAATAAAAATATATTTTTTTAAAAACCAGCATAAGTGAAAATGCTTTATAGTCATCAGTACTTACTTCTTAGCTAATGTATCTGGGGTCAGGGCTTCAGTGGTTTCTGAATCACTCAATGCATCTTCATCATCACCTATCATACTAGGACAACAAGCAGATTATAATTAATAATGGAACTATAATTTTTCAGGCAGAAAAACAAGGTAAATATAATCCAATTGACTTACTTAAAATATCAAGACATTTATAGCTCTGTTGGTCATCTTTGAAGTTTAATTTCAGTTTCAATTCAATGCAAATATTTCAAAGTAAATGATTAAAAAACAACAACACTACTGCAACCATGAAGATAAATATTGAAAATTCAAACCATCTGAAAAAAATACTTCGATTATTCCATCCAGTGGGGGTGGGAGGACAAATAATGCAAAAACAAACAAACAAACAAACAAACCCATCTCACTGTCTATTTTACAATATGTACTGTTACATAACCTGAAGATGAGACAAAGGGATCTACGCAGACATAAGGTTAGGTAAAATAACAAAATTGGACCCTAAAGACCTCATTCAGGAAGTTTTAAACGCTATTTAGCTTTCTAGATCTACCCTCTAATGAAATCTTTGCTCCCCACTTAATTGCAAAAATGGGCATCTTTAATTTTCAAGCCACTGAAAAGTACATAAAACAGAATTTAGCTATATAGAGAGAGATATAAATATATACCTATATATCTATATATCTATATGACGTATACCTTTCCTGGTTTGTTAAGGAGGCAAGTTAAATAAGTGCTATGGTTTAAATGATGCTCTTTTTCCAAGTGAAGTTGAAATAAACTCATTTACATTAAGCAGAGGACAGAATAATCTATCACTTTGTAGAATCTTTTATAAAAAATCTAGGCTTTGTTATAAAATTTACAGATGAATTATATGTTTGTGTATATGTACACACACACACACACACACACACACACACACACACACATACACACAGTGGAGCAAAAGTAGGTTTAGAGTACACGAAACAGTTTATTTTTGTATTATTATTTATTGTCTTATTTTCCATACAAACAACTATAAACTTACCTTTTTTATTTTTATTCCTTACCTGAGGATATTTTTCCATTGATTTTCAGAGAGAGTATATGGGGAGGGGGGGGAGAAAGAAACATTGATGTGAGACACATGTATTGGTTGCCTCCTGCATGTGCCTGAATGGGGCCAGGGATTGAACCTGCAACCCAGGAACAGGCCCTTGACTGGGGATTGAACCCGAAATCCTTTGATATGTATGGGCCAACACTCATCACTGAACAACAATGGCCAGGGCTATAAAAAGCATCTTAAAGGAAAAAAAAAAAAAGCTCTTTAAGAAAAAAAGAGCTGGTAAAACTGAGCACCACATCCAGAAAACCTAAGCACATACATCTGTACATACACACAGCCTCAATCATTTAGGGACCAAATAACTTTAGAGACTCTCAGAGGAAGAATATGGGTAAGGTAGAGAGAGAGAGAGAGAGAGAGGAAAAAAAAAAGCATATCTACCTGTGGAGAGCAGCTGCAGTGTTGGGACTGGATCAAGCCTCGGACTGACTTGTGGCAAAGCCACATAGAAGTCCCAGCTTGGAGGGCAAAGCCCTCCCAGCACAATTATAGCTAAAAGGCTATGGTTGTAAGCTTGACCAGTCCGACCCCGCAGGCCTAGGTAGCTAAGGGATGTGGGCTACAGGAGTGGTGGGGGGTGGGAGGGGGGGTGACTGTGTGTGTGTGTGTGTGTGTGTGTGTGTGTGTGTGTGCGCGCGCGCAGCAAGTGCTGCCTAAATAAAGCTTGATAGAGTTCAGAGAATGGCAACAACAGGAAAGAAGCAGATTTGAAATTCACAAGAACATTTTAAACATCTTGCCCTTGTTTTGCTTTGTGTGACCTGACTATAAAATAAAGCTTCAGCTTACAGGCTGTGTCACTGTTTCCTCATCCAGGCACAGTGATCTACCTGGTCCCAACTATATTCTCTTGTGTGTCTTCTTTAATCCTTCACCGTCCCTCCTCAGGTTCACCACTGGCCATGGTTCATCTACCATTCTGATTTACTATATTTTAAATATAAAGCCTAAAAATAATGAGTACAGCTATTTTTTTGAATTATGTTAGATCTAAAGTCTTTCAGGATAGTTATCTCCAACACAGGTAAGTAAGGGGTATCTACTACTTTTATTTTTACTTAATTTTAATTTTCTGTTTCAATTACAGTTTACTTTCAATATTATTTTATATTGGTTTTAGGTATACAACATAGTGGTTAGACAATCATACTTTACAAAGTGTTCCCCCTGAAATTTCCAGTACCCACCTAGCACCATACATATTGACTATATTCCCTATACTGTACTTTTATATCCCTGTGAAAGAAGTGAAGGGATTAAGAGGTACAAATTGGTAGTTATAAATAGTCTACTACTTTTACTGAAAAGGAAGAAAGCCCCAACTTTGGCTTCTGGTACAATAAACGTTTTAAGGTATGTCTTAAAGTATATCTGTAATTAGGAGAAAACAATATAAACTTTTCATAAGTAATATGTCTATTTTTTCCCTCAAGTTTATTAGTATTAGTGTTTCAGTATCTGTACTTCTTATTATTTCTTTCTACCCTTGCCAAAATCATGTTTATTCTTTTTACTGTTTTTATCAAGTTATCTCAACTTTGCTTCTTCCAAAGATTTCATCCACTGATTTAAAACAGAATTTCTTAACTCTATTTTAACAATAACTTCCAGATTTATGAACTTACACTTCAATGACAAAATATTTCAGTCCTGAAAATCTTTATTTTTTCAATACAAGTTAAGGCATGCTCTGCGTTAGGTATTTCTACTTATTTAGAACTCCATCTTCTCAAAATGCTTATTGGCACATTATTTTTGTCTTTATACTAATCACTGCCACACACTATGATTTTAAAAACTTTGGAAGACTCAAAATTGCCAACAATTATAATGCAATGATCTAAACTACAATATTATGTAAGTAAAAAATAAGGACACCAAACAGTAGTAATGACCACTTGCCTTTGAATGGGTTAAAAAATAGTTAACATCTGTGAAGTTATTTTCTGCAAAGAGAGTAAGTCCTGATTTCTATTTTGGAAGCAAACAAGCCCAATTTTAAAGTTACATATTAGTTATATTATTACACAAAATATGCAATTGGGTTATTAATTAGCGCTCCAGTAACAAATATAAAAACAAATAAATTCAAATCAGCTGTTATCCAGAAGTTCATATCAAATCCAAAATAAACAAGTCAAAAAAGGAATGATGTCTACAAAACATTACCGGTGGTATGGAGTGCTTGGTTCATCTATTTTCATTAAACCATAGTCTTTGTCTGCTGGATGATATGTCGCCAGGATGTTCATTTCATCCCACTTCTGGGATTTTTTACTAAAATTAAAAGCAAAAGAAAAAAATGTTCCTCAAAGCAATAAAAGATAAAAAATGTGCACATCTAAAATTCACAAACATCTAAAAATACGTTTTTATTGATTTTTAGAGAGAAAGGGACAGGGACAGAGAGATAGAAACATTGATGAGATAGGAACAGTATCATAGGCTGCCTCCAGCACATACCCCTATACTGTGGGGATAAAGCCTACAATCAGGGCATGTGCCCTGACCAGGCGACCTTTTAGTTCCTAGGTCGACACTCAACTGCTGAGCCATACCGACTGGGTTAAAATTCACAAATATCTAAATCCCACATTTCAGTTTCTAGTTGACTGCTAACTTCTATTTTTACAGCTACTTTATTAGAATAGAAACTGATTTAGGAAAAAACCCGTAAGTCATTAAAATAAAATCTTGGTAAATATTTTATAAAATACTTAGTGCCCACATATTAAAAACATATTATTCAGAATCTTCACCAGGCATTCAAAACACACTATGACATATTTAGTCTTCACCTGATCTACAGAATTAAAACAGTAAAGATTGAAATTTATACATTGTTTGATTTCAATAGTTAAGGATTCTTGATCTACTATATATTAGTAACAGTGTGATTAAAAATATCAAACAGGAATTTTTTTTTGGCCTAATATTTTCAGATATCCATGCTAATCAAAAGAATCAGGCTTGCTCTCCCTCCCAGGAGCACACCCACACGCTGCCCCCCTCCTTTTTCCCCACAGGTATGCATCTCCTAAACTCTAAGGGACCCCGTGAGGCTTGCAAACAGGGCAGCAATGGGCAGCCGCAGTTCATTCCAGGCAAACTCCCTGAATCTATTCTCAAGGCCCCTTGTTCTCTGAATTCTTAGTGAACCAAAGCAGCCTACCTAGGCTCATTTCCAAAGCCTTTGTTTCATTGTCACCAGCTTTAATAAACGATCTCTAACATTCAACAAAAAAGTCAGAACATTAAACGATAGGGAAAAACTTCATTAATTTCATATACCACTAAATAAAGATTTAGGTTGCAAAAAAACAAAATTATAGCTCTATTTTTTAATCTAGAAAAATAAGGTTTTGCTCAGAAATGGAATACAGCAGCCCCCCCCTTATCTCTGAGGGACACATTAGAATGCCTGAAATTGCAGATAATACTGAACCTTATATATACTACTATGTTCTTCCCTGTATATACATACTTATAATAAAGTTTAATTTATACTAGTAAACTCGGCACAGTAAGAGATCAATTATAACAATATACTGTGATAAAAGTTATGTGAATGTGGTCTCTCTCAATATATTGTATTCATCACCTTTCTTGTGATGATGTGAGATGACAATGCCTACCTAATGAGATGAACTGAGGTGACGAATGTAGGCATTGTGATATAGCATTAGGCTACTATAAGGGTTGCTTGAACAAAAGCACTGTGATACCTGAACAGCTGATCTGATAACCAAATGGCTACTAAGTGACTACAGGCAGGTAGTGTACTAGTATACAGTGTGAATACGCTGGACAAAGGGACAATTCACACTGAGGTTTCATCATGCTACTTAGAATGGTGCACATTGAATTGTTGAACATTTTTTTCCAAGTCTCTTGGCCGTTTATTTGTATGCCCGCTTTGGGCAAGTGTCTATTCAGGTCCTCTGCCCATTTTTAAATTAGATTGTCTTCCTTTTGTTAAGTTGTATGAGTACTTTATATGTTTTGGAAATTAACCCATCAGATGTATCATTGGCAAATATGTTCTCCCAAACAGTGGGTTCCCTTTTCATTTTGATGCTGGTTTCTTTGGCTGTGCAGAAGCTTTTTCGTTTAATGTAGTCCATTTATTTATTTTTTCCTTTGTTTCTCTTGCCCTAGGTGATCTATAGGTGAAAATTCTGCTACAGGAGATGTCTGAGATTTTGCTGCCTACATTTTCTTCTAGGATTTTTATGGTTTCACGACTTACATTTAAGTCTTTTATCCACTTTTAGTTTATTCTTGTGTATGGTATAAGTTGGTGGTCTAGTTTAATTTTTTTTTGCATGTACCTGTCCAATTTTCCCAGCACCATTTATTGAAGAGACTCTCTTTACTCCCTTATACGCTCTTGCCTCATTTGTCAAATATTAATTGAGCATAATGGCTTGGGTCAATTTTTGGGTTCTCAGTTTTGTTCCATTGATCTATATGCCTATTCTTGTACCAGTGCCAGGCTGTTTTGATTAACAATGGCTTTGTAGTATAACTTGATATCATCTTTTGATACCTCCAACTTTGTTCTCCTTTCTCAAGGTATCTGCAGCTGTTGAGGGTCTTTTTTTTTGGTTCCATATACATTTTTGGAGTATTTGTTCTAGATCTGTGAAATATGTCATTGGTATTTTAATAGGGATTGCATTGAATCTATAGATTTAGATCACTTTGGGTAGTATGGACATTTTAATAATGATAACTCTTCCAATCCATGAACACGGTATATTCTTCCACTTGTTTGTAGCTTCCTCTATCTCTTTTAACAGCGTCCAGTAATTTTTCGAGTACAGGTCTTTTACTTCCCTGGTTAAATTAATTCCTACATTTGCTTATTTATGTATTTATTTACTAGAGGCCTGGTGCACAAAATTTGTGCACGGGTAGGGTTCCTAGGCCTGGCTGGTGAATAGGGCCTTCCTTCATTCCGAGCTGTCCCCCCCTGCCCCGCCCCCCAGTGGGTCAGCGCACACCTAGTGATCCGGTAGAACCTGTCCAAGGACAATTTGCATATTAGCCTTTTATATATATAGATTTGCAATAATAAAAGGGATTTTTTCTTTTCTTTTTCAGAGAGATCGTTATTGGATAAAAATGCCATTGATTTCTGGATATTAATTTTGTATCCTGCTACTTCGCCGAATGCGCTTATCAAGTCTAGTAGTTTTTTTTGGTGGATTCTGTAGGGTTTTCCATGTGTAATATCATGTCATCTGTGAATAATGACAGCTTTACTTCCTCCTTGACAATTTTAATGCCTTTTATTTTTTCTTCTTGTCTGACTGCTGTAGCTAGAACTTCCAGTGCTATGTTGAATAAGAGTGGTGAAAACAGACATCCCTGTCTTGTTCCTGTTCTTAAGAGAAACACTTTTAGTTTTTGCTCCTTGACTATGATGTTGATTTCAACGTCACTAATCATCAGAAAAATGCAAATTAAAATGACAATGTGGTATCACCTCACACCTGACAGAAGGGCTACCATCAATAAATCAACCAACAAGTGCTAGTGAGATTGTGAAGAAAAAGGAACCCTAGTACACTGCTGGAGGGAATGCAGACTGGTACAGTCACTATGGAAAACAGTGTGTTTTCTTAAAAAATTAAAAAATGGAACTGCCATTTGATCCTGTGATCCCACTTCTAGGAATATATCCTAAGAAGCCTGAAACACCAATTAGAAAGAATGTATGCACCCCTACGTCCATAGCAGCATAATTTACAATAGCTAAGACCTGGAAACAGCCCGTTTCCATCAACAGATAAGTGGATAAAAAAGCTGTGGTACATTAACACAATGGAATACCATGCAGATGTAAAAAAGGACCTCTTACACTTTGGGACAGCATGGAGGGACCTGGAAATTATTATGCTAAGTGAAATAAGCCAGTCAGAGAAAGACAAATATCACATGACCTCACTTATATGTGGAATCTAATAAATAACATAAATTGATGAATAAAATAGAACTAGAGGCATGGAAACATGGAACAGACTGATGAATCTCAGAGGGAAGGGTGGTGGTGGTGGGGTGGCAGGAAGAGATTAACCAAAGAACTTATGGCATATATGCATTGCCCATGGACACAGACAATAGAGTGGTGAAAGCCTGTGGTGGGGTGGGAACTTTGTGGAGGGGAGCAATGGGGGAAAAAGGAGGGAAACATATGACATATGTAATACTCTTAACAATAAAGATAAAAAAAGAAATAAAAATAAAATTTATGAATTATTTCTGCAATTCATTTAATATTTTTGTTTTTAAAATTGTATTTTTAAATTGTGCTGTTTACATTCAATATTATTTTGTATTAGTGTCAAGTTAACAGCACAGTGGTTAGACTTTACAAAGCATTTCCCCCAGTATTTCCAGTACCCCCGTGGCGCCATACAGAGGCATTACAATATTATTGACTATATCACTTATGCTATACTTTACATTTCCATGACTACTTTGTAACTACCAATTTGTATTTCTTTAAAACTTTTTAAAAATATATTTTTATTGGTTTCAGAGAAGGAGAGATAGAAACATCAATGATAAGAATCATTGATTGGCTGCCTCCTGCACACCAACCTGCTCGATCTCCTACTGGGGATCGAGCCCACAACCCAGGCATGTGCCCTTGCCCAGAATCAAACCCAGGACCCTTCAGTCCACAGGCCAATGCTCTAACCACTGAGCCAAACTGAGTAGGGCCCAATTTGTATTTCTTAATCCCTTCAACTTTTTTCAGCCAGTCCCCTAACCGCCTTACCCTCTGGCAACCATTAGTCTGCTCTCTGTATCTGAGTCTGTTTCTATTTTGTTTATTTTGCTCTTTAGACTCCACATGTAAGTGAAAGCATATGGTGTTTGTCTTTCTCTAATGGACTTATTTCACTATGCATAATACCCTCTAGGTCCATCCATGCTGTCTCAAATGGTAAGGTTTCATTCTTTTTTATCGTCAAGTTATATTCCATTGTATATATATGTAACAATCTTCTTTATCCACTTGTCTATTGATGAGTGCTTGGGTTGCTTCCATATCTTAGCTACTGTAAATAACATTGCAATAAACATAAGAATGCATATATTCTCTCAAATTAGTATTTTTGATTCCTTTGGATATATTCCCAGAAATGCAATTGCTGAGTCTCAAGGCAGTTCCAATTTTTTTTCTTTAGGATCCTCCATACTGGTTTTCATAGTGGATGTACCAATCTGCATTCCCACTAAAAGGGGTCCCTTTTAACCCATCCTTGCCAGCACTTGTTTGCTGATTTACTGAT